GAGCCCAGACTACCCCTCATCTCGGCCACTCCTCACCACCCTCCCACTGTCTCTTCTCCAAGCACACCCAGCTGCCCTGCCCCTCACCCTTTATGCCTCAACCTCTCCACACTCCCCTTGTCTGTCTTTAGACAACCACTCATCCACTAACAGCTCACGCACTGCCTAAGTGCATTCACCCTCTGTGCCTTTGTATCGCCCAAAGGGTGACAAATAATTGTCTGCTTATCAAGCTCTCCAAATCCCCTGAGAGAAGGGCCCAGGCCCTGTTTGCTTCCATAAGCTCAGAGGGTTGTGAGGGACAGTGTTTAAATGCAGGGGACCCAGACTAAGAATGTTGGAGCCTTGGTCCCTCCACGCATGAGCTGCGTGACTTCAGACACATTACACACTTTTGTCTTCATTGTAGACCGCAGATGCTTCTGTATCTATGCGTTGGAACGTGTTGGGGATTACATGAATACGTTTATCTGCAGTGCTTAAACCAATTTTTGGCAACGCACTAAGTGCTCGATACACGGCATTATTATTTCCTAACCTCTGATAGGGTTTGGGGATATGCTTGTTCAATGAGCAAAGGGATGTTTTATAAGTCGGCAAACCTTTCATTATTATGTTGTAAAGGAAACAACTTTAATGCAAAAACACGTTAACTTCCAAGTTAAATTAGAAAATTAAAATTCTAAAAATAGTAGAAATGGGAGTTACTTAGTATTATCGTCTGCTTCATCCTTCTTCTGGTGGAACCTGTACCCTGCAAGTATTTTGCTAAAGCTTTCTCGCTTTGGCCAAGACTGGGTCCAATCTAAAGCCACTGCCCCTTTCAACTTGACTACCAGGTATTTTTCCCTTTTACTTTCCTCATACTGAAACCTACTAGCTTTCTTGTATCATCGTTGTCTACAAATAAACCTGAATAGGTTATGACACTTTTTTAAAAAATATATTTTATTGCTTTTTTACAGAGAGGAAGGGAGAGAGAGAGTTAGAAACATCGATGAGAGAGAGAAACATCGATCAGCTGCCTCCTGCACATCTCCTACTGGGGATGTGCCCGCAACCCAGGTACATGCCCTTGACCGGAATAGAACCTGGGACCCCTCAGTCCGCAGGCTGACGCTCTATCCACTGAGCCAAACCGGTTTCGGCTATGACACTTATTTTTTAGGTAGCAGTTCTACTTTGACATTTTAAATGTCTAGTGGTTTCTTATAAATGGAAAGCGATCATACTAGTATATTTTTTATTTACTGGCTAATGATAAACAATGCAGAAGCAGTAGCTTGTGCTTGTGCTGGCTTTACTCCCCCCACCTCCAAACTAACATGTTGAATATTTTAACAGACAGATCCTGCCCTGGCAGGGACCCTGGCCCTCCCACAGGAGGGACAGGCCATGTCCGGCACTGACAGTTTGTCTCAGCCCAACAGCCTCCAGAAGACCAAGATGGTGGGCAGAAGCTGAGAGCTTCCAGGCTTCCTAGTTTGGGGGATGTTGTTTTTTAGGATTAATTGGTGCCTAATTAAAAAATCCCTTAAAAGAACTTCACAACCCTATTAAACCAAAATTACCCAGTACTGAATAGTATCCTCCTTCCCAATTCATGTTCACCCAGAACACATCACTGTGACCTTATTTTAAAAAGGTCTCTGCTGTTGTGATCTCATTGAAATGAGATCATACTGGATTCCAGTGGGTCCTAATTCAATGACTGGGTCCTTATAGGAAGAGGGAGCTTCAGACAAACAGACACAAAAGGAAGAATGAGGCAGAGGTTAGACTGATGATTCTGCAAGACGAAGGATTGTTGAAAGAGAGAAGTAGATAGTATGTCTCTATTTTTAAAGTCTTGAGAATCACGAAGATGTAACTGGCAGTGACTTGTTATCACCCTAGGTTACCGACTCTCCTACAGGTGGGGACGGGCTGAGCTGCAAGGCCTTCTGCAGGCCTGACACCCCAGTCAGTGTCATTTTCTCAGCAGCAGCAGGCCTCACGGGGGCTAAGCAATCTCTGAGGGCTCTGGCCTGGCCCATCTGGAACGCCTGGCAGTGTGTCCCTCATTGGAGGATTCTATAATGCTAGTGTGGGAAATTCTCCATTGAGAATTTCTACAGTCACCCACAAGCAAGTGGGAGGAAGATTTCAGGGTAAAAAGTAGTGATGCTTTATCCAAAACTAGAGGCCCAGTGCACGGATTTGTGCACTGATGGGGTCCCCAGTGTGGCCTGCAGGCAGCCGGGTAGGAGCCCAAGCCCTGGCCTGGCACCACACCGCTCCCGCTCATGCTGACCCCACTGTGCATTAGGCTCACCAGCCATGAGCCCAGCATGGGAGCGCACTGACCACCGGGGGCAGCTCCTGTATTGAGCAACTGCCCCCTGGTGGTCAGTGCACGTCATAGCAACCAGTCAACCAGTCGCTTTGGGTTTTATATATATAGATCAGGGGTCCTCAAACTACAGCCCTCGGCCACATGCGGCCCGCCGAAAACATTTATCCAGCCCACCCGGTGTTTTTGCCGCTGCTGTGTGCATAGGAATTTGTTCATAGTTTTTTTTAAACTATAGTCCGGCCCTCCAACGTCTGAGGGACATGAACTGCCCCTGTTTAAAAGTTTGAGGGACCCCTGATATAGATAGACATGGGCATCAAGAAAACAGAAACACCAAGACTACAGACACATATCAGAAAGAGAGTTAAAACATTTAGAAAGGTCTATTTTAATGGCAGCATACTTGCAGGTAACGTTTCACTTTACAATTTTTATTTTATGGTTTGAGCTTTTTTTTTTTTCTCTCTGAATTCTACATCAGGTCTCCACATTTCTTCACCCGGCCCTGATAGGACATCTTCTCAGAGCCTCCAAAGTCATTCTACATCAACAACCTGCAATCAACCCTCCCACAGGGATGTGTCCGCTCCCCGCCCCTCCCGTGCTGAGGCTGCAGAGATGGTCCCCACCTGTACGCAGAGATCTGAGCCCGGCCCGGGATCTGAAGCTCCCTCCGCATCTGCTCCTGGCTGGTTTTCAGGCGCTTTTCCAGCAGATCCAGCCTGTCGATTCGGAATAGCAGCTCCCTCAGGAAGGACAAGTTGTCCTCCTCCAGCATTTTCTTCTCCTGGAGTTTCTCAAAGAGCATCAAGGCATCCTTGATGGGCTCCTGCTTCCTTAGTGGGATGTAGTCCAGGCACAGGAACTTGAGCGAGGCCACCTCATCACTGCTCAGTGCTTCCCCAATCTCATACAGACAATTGCTGAAATCCATGCTTGTCCGTGTTGGTCAAATGTAGCTGTAGCCTAGGTCAACACACAACATTATGATGAGGAAGAAAAGCACCATTAACTGCTTGGTTCCCTCATCAAATGCTATGACATCATTTACAATACGCGTCAGGCATTTTGCTGTGGGTAGAGGGAAGAAAACAAACAGATAAGCTCCTGCTCTCAAGTAGCTTACTGTTTGGGATGGTAGATCTATAAACTAGCCAATGGTCAGAAGAGTTGTGATCAGGGTGCAGTAGGAATAATAAATGTGAAAATGCACTTGGAAGCAGTGGTTTTCCAACTCTCTGCAAAGTAGAAGGTGGCTTTGTTGAAGTCTTACTCCGACTCTCCCTTGCCTTAATAGGTGCCTGGAGAGCTGCTGGGTGAGAACTTTGGACTAGGAAACCTTGAACTTCCCATCCGGCTCCGTCATCCCCTCAGTCCCACAGACTCTGTGCCTTTGGCACTTTCCTTAACCTCAAATAACCTTAACGTGTTTAGACCCCTTTCCTTCCTAAAGCAAAGCAGATGGTTCCCGGCTCTTCAAGCTCCCTGCATTTACTGACATTCTTGGGTGAAAATGCAAATCCTGATTGCACTCAGAGGTATTAAGCAGAGGTAGTGAACCAGGACCCATATATTTTGTACATATGATATTAAAATAGAAATACTTTTGATTTGCACATTAAGGTAAGTGTTAGGTCTGATCAAATAATTGAATCAATTCCCCCTCCCCTGGAAACTGACCCTTAGACCACTTCACAACAGACATTCCCTTTTGCTTAAAGCACAGTCCACTTGCTAAGACCATCACCTCTCCCCTGCAGACCTTCCCAGGATCCGGACGTGCACAGGGAATTCTCTGCCCACCTGGAGTCCCTTAAAAACCTTTGACTCCCACCTCTGGGTGCTGGTGCCATTTGGGGGCACAGCCCATGTGGTATCCAGATGAACTAATAAATTTATAATCCAGAACCACTTTGGCCTCATGCATTCCTCCTTTGGTGAGCCTAACAGTAAGCTTTAAATTTTTTTAAGTGATCAAAAGGACTTTGAGCCTTTTAAAAACCACCTTCCTATCTGCACTTTGATTATAAAACCAGTGGGGTTTTTTGGTGAAATTTTAAAATGAGTTATAACATAGTCCCAGTTATCATTACATATACCCCCCCCCACACACACACACACACACATTTATATAAAAATTAAGATCAGGCTGCATATCCAGGTGTATACACATCCCCTCCACACCAGCCCCCACTTAACATTTAAAATAAACATTAATCCCTACCGTTAAATATTCTTCTTTGCCATATTTCTAATGTTTCTAGATTTTTTATCACGTGGATATATCAAAGCATTTTTCTATTTCTTTACTGCTAAAAAATCATATTGAGAGGGCGGCAGGCATCATCGGAAGCGCCACGTTGCACTTCTGCCGATGGCACTTTGGGCTTGTTTTAGTGAGGTCATTGCAGACATCACATTCATTGTCACAGTTGTTGGGCAAGTCTTCTTGAGTCAGGAAACTGAACAGATAGTTATCTCAAAAGACACACTTTGCGTTGGATTCACAAAGTCTCACGGCCGAAGCAATCGGTTATCATGAAAATGCCTTTGTTCAAACGACATCTTAAATAAGGGGCCAGCACCTCGCAGAAGATATTCAAAGTGCTACAAACAAAACTGCCGGACATATAAAGAGACAAACTAGCAAGCTCATCCCCTAAACCACACTCTATAGAAACACACCTGGGTGCTCAACAGGGTATGTTCCTGGCGTCTCATCACAGCGTGACGGGTAACCTCCAACAACTAGGAGCACCCCACATGTCCTCCAATGCAGGGACACTAGGCAAACTAAGGCGTAATCGTGCCACACAATATCGTGCAGAGGTTAAAAAGTGCACTCCATCTTCCGAACTACAAAGGGATATGGTGACAGTGAGGGAAAAAAGCAAGTTGCAATATAACAAAAAAATCATACACCTACTTTTTAAAAATACTCAAAGCAATACAATTAGATTTTCAGTGACTACAGACACGTGTGTAAAAGCTAAATCTGGAGGGAGACATACCGTACTCACCCAGTTGTTCCTCCTGGAGGTGGCGGGGAAAGAGACAACGCTGGGGGGAGTGAGGAAAAGGAATGTGCTAAGGAGAAAGCATGCAGGCATCCTCTGCGTAAATGAAATTAAACATTAAACACCAGCCTGGTGTGTTCTTGTGTTTAAGAGAGTGGAACCAAGTGCGTGGAGGAGGGGCAGGAAGTGAGGCTTTTGGGGAACCTGAGGAGAGAACCCCAGGCATGGAGACAAGATCACGGAGGAGTGACACAATCACATGCATGTTCTTACAAGAAAAAAAAAAAAACTAGAAGGACTAAGTATAACAGAAAACCGGAAAGCCAACAAAGGAAAATTGATAAAGTGTATTTAAATAAAAACTAAAATATTCTGAAAAAAAACCACAAAATTCCAAAAAATAAATAAATCTTGCACTGGGAAAAAATGGGCAGTAATATGTAATAGGAAAGGGACTAATTTTTTTTTTAATAGGACTCCTACATGGACACAGACAAATGGGGCAGTGAGGACCCGGGGCAGGGGTGGGGGTGAGCTGGAGGGGGTCAATGGGGGAAACAGGGGACATATGTAATACTTTCAATAATAAAGAACTATTTTTTAAAAAGAAATAAAGGGGGAGGCGAAAGAAAAGAATGAGAAAAACTAAAATGGGGAAAGGAGAAGAAAAATGAGAGGAAAAAAGAGAAGAGCGAAAGAAAATGGTGCAAAAATAATAAAAATTTTAAAAAATAAAAGGAATAAATAAATAGGGCTTCTATAAGTCAGTTTAAGGAAAAAAGAGAAAGACAACCATCCAATGCCTAAATGGGTAAAGATCATAAGTAGACAGAGAAAAAAGTACCAGTGGCTTTATTTTTTTTTATAACTAATGGCGTTTTTACATTTGAAAAGATGTTTAACCTCATTCACAATCAATTTTTTAAACGCAAATTGAAATTACAAAAGACCACTTTCAACAACAAAAAAAGGTAGGTGGGTAATTTGGCCACATCTGTCAAAATATAAAATGTACAGCTCCTTTGACCCCACAATTTAACTTGCAGGACTTTCCCCCTACGTTAGCTTAACACGTTAAGCGCCCTGTCAGACACCAGTGACTGAAACAGAAAGGAAGACTAAACAGGCTTGGCGCTCAAAGTGTTAAACATCAGTGTACGAAACGCATGTACAGGTTATTCATGGCAGCATTGCTTGAAATAATAAAGGAGCAGAAACAACTGTTTAGTGAAAATCAGAAGAGTTAAATAAGCTTTTAACCATGTCCGATGCACTCTAGTCAACTATTAAAAAGAATGGAAAGGGCATCATGGTTGGGTATGTGTGATCTATGTGATGTATTATTAAGTGGTGCATCGATTTCAGAATTCATAGATCTTTGAACAAAACACGCAGGAGGCTGCTTGGTGGTTGCCTCGGAGAAGAGGAAACAGGCCTGGGTGAGTGTGGGGAAGGCCTATGGGTGAACCGGAAAAAACATTTTTCCCCATTTCAAATTTTTACCATGTGCATTATAAATGTACGTACAAACCTCTAAATTAAAATCTCTATTTAAAGATCCATTTGTATTCATATACTCGAATGAGCCTAAACTAGGTCCAGCCCTGTTGGGTACCATTGGATTCAGTGTCTTTAAAATTTTATATCATTTCTAACCAGTGTTAAAATCTAATTTTACAGAATAAAATCAACCAGAGAGTCTAATGCAAGCAGAATCTTCTTTTTTCCCCCTCCCCAGTTATTTTTTTCTGATGATAACAATCCTTATTGTATTCATTTTACAAAATAAAGATAAAAAGAAAAAATCAAAATTACCTATGATTCCATCATCCTAAGATAAACACCTAATAATACTTTACTGTCTTTTGTACCAAATATTTTATGTCTATATATTTTCCCTCACAATTTGTTATAATAATGTTATGGTCATAAGGAAACCCTTCTAATGTGTGGAAATAATTATTGTGTGAAATAATTAATGTGTGAAATGTTTGCTGTGTGAAGACCCCAATACTCTGTAACTTCCAAAATGTGGTGAACCCCCACTATCTTGATGTGAATGCCCTGAGCCCTTAGCGTAAACATCCTGCTCCTAGCAAAGGCACGCCGTCTGGCCCACACTGATAAGACACAGTTGTTTACTACTGGCTATATAAGCACCAGATTTTCTCCAGTTGATGTCTCCTGCCTGAGAGGAGGACTCCACGTCACTCCGTGAGACAAGCCCCTGATTGACTGCTCTGCTGTGTGAGCCTGAACCAACTGCGGCCGCCTGTCTGTCTCTGTCTTCGTCGTCCGTCTTTTGGTGTGCATCGCCGGGTGGCCTTTGCTGGAGCCTAGGACCCACTAGGAATAGGTAAATAAACCCTGTGTGATTGCATACTAATTCTGTCTTGTGTGTTCATGTGTTCCGGTTTGGCTCAGCTCTCTAGACATTGAAGTACCAGGGGATAGGCCGTTATTGCTGACTCCTGGTCACCTGCGTTTGTCCCACTAAATCTAGACAGATAATTAATTAACTAATTGGGACATAATTGGAACACAATTGAACACACCATATTCTTGAGGTGTAGGAGTATTTTTCCATTGATAATGTCGTAAGTATATTGATGTCTTCATTTTTTCTTCTGCAATATGAATTTTAAAATCTATAAAGCGGCTAATCAAATGCATGGGCCATAATTTATGCAACCAGTCTCTGATTACATTTAGGATGATCTTAAAATGCAAATTTCTATGTACACCTCTGATTATTTTCTTAGACTAATTGCCCAGAAGTAGTATTAGAGTCAAAAGAAATAAACCTTTTTAAAGCTTTTGTTCAAAAGTGTTTTCTGACAGTATATATATACAGGGGTGGGCAAAAGTAGGTTAATAATAATTATTATTAATTACAATACAATAACGAACACATGATAATTCAAGAATAAACTCTGTGTTTCGTGTACTCACAACTGTAAACCTACTTTGCCCACCCTGTATGTATATTACAATTCAAGGCCAATGATTCTCTCTCATTAATTGATGTTTTTCTTTCTCTGTCCCTCTCCCTTCCTCTCTGAAATAAATAAAAATATATATACGTTTTAAAAATATTAATCTAACAAAGTTTCTAGCTCATGAGACTGTCCAGTAAACGCAGGCCCCAGGGTCCCTGTAGTTCGAACAGGAGTTTAGTTAGAACATGATTGGGGCTGGGCTCCTGTCCTCTGTAGCCAGCTCATCGCGCTCGTTTTATCATCTTTGCCGAAACATGACAATGTTTCCTAAGTGATTTTTGCATCGTATCAAAATGGCCACTTAGTAAATGCTAGTGAGGTTTCTTTCCTGGCTCAGGTTTCCAGCACACACTGGTACGACTGACAGTCGGTCTGTTTGTTTGTTTGTTTGTTTGTGTCACCTAGTTTTCTAGTCATAGTGCCTGGAAAGCAATCGCCTGCACAAGATTCTACACCAGCTGTGGGCAAACTACGGCCCGTTTGAAATGAATAAAACTAAAAAAAAAAAAAAGACCGTACCCTTTTATGTGATGATGTTTACTTTGAATTTATATTAGTTCACACAAACACTCCATCCATGCTTTTGTTCCCGGCCCTCCGGTCCAGTTTAAGAACCTATTGTGGCCCTCGAGTCAAAAAGTTTGCCCACCCCTGTTCTACACCAATAACCACAGGCTGCTGCTAGGCACTGGGTTCTAACTATAGGGACCCTGAGGCCTAAGTTTACTGAACAAACTGATGAGCTAGAAACTTGGTTAGATTAATATATTTTTTAATATATTTTTATTGATTTCAGAAAGGAAGGGAGAGGGAGATAGAAACATCAATGATGAGAGAGGATCATTGATTGGCTGCGTCCTGCATGTCCCACACTGGAGATCGAGCCCACAACCCAGGCATGTGCCCTGACCGGGAATTGAACCGTGACCTCCTGGTTCACAGGTCGACACTCAACCACTGAGCAACACCAGCCTCTAGTATAATTCTATTTTTAAATATTAAAATTATTTAAAAATTTTTAAAAGACCAAAAAATCACCCCAAAGCACAAAAACAGGAATTCTTAACTTCACTATAGGAGAGAGAGGTCAGAACCTTATAAACCGAGCCAGTACATGCTGAAGCCTAAATTTAGACCTCAGCCACAAATCCACCACTGTCTTATGGCCACGATTTAACTACAAATAAATCTCATCTAATCACAAACAATCCTGGCAATATTCTAGCAGCATCCCAGATCCTTTAGGGATATGGATAACGGGAAAAGAAATCCAAAACCTGCAGTCATCGTCTGAGACAAAAACCTGCACCTCATTCCAAGCTCAACAGGACTTGAAAATGGCGCAGGCCCAGCCCACAGTGATAGCGTGGCAACTCCCTCCCGTCCGGGGTGGCCACCTCAAAGTGGGGGCTCCCCCAGAACCTGCCAGCTGTCCACTCTGCACACAAACACTGTCCCCGCAGGCCCTGAAACCAGCGCTTTCGCACGGCCCAGTGAAGGTGTTCAAACCTCAACAAAACCCTGTCATTTTCAAACTGAATGACATTCCTAGGTTCACCTATAAATGCTAAACCCCACAAGTACAGTCTCAAATTTTGTTAGTAATTTCCTCTGTAATTTTTAAATTTCTCAAAATAAATAAATAAATGATTGAATTTTTAGGGCTGTGTGCATGTGTGCGTGTGTGTTTATGTGTGTTCATGTTAGTGGGCATCTATTGGGTGGGTACGTGCTGAGAAATGGTTAGCTGTAGCAGCAAAGTTCTTTGAGATGTAACATTTGCTTTCTATTCTTTGACAAGTTTCACCTGCATAAGAATCACTGTACTTGGAGCATTTCAGAAAAAACAAACAGGAATGCATCAACCTAAGCCAGTGGTCGGCAAACTCATTAGTCAACAGAGCCAAATATCAACAGTACAACGATTGACATTTCTTTTGAGAGCCAAATTTTTTAAACTTACACTATATAGGTAGGTAGGTACATTGTTATTAACTTAATTAGGGTACTCCTAAGGCTTAGGAAGAGCCACACTCAAGGGACCAAAGAGCCGCATGTGGCTCGCGAGCCGCAGTTTGCCGACCACAGATCTAAGCTAGAGAGGCCTTGAGATGTGCAATCTGTGGGCCCACAGGCTCTCGGCTCAAACATAAGGCTCATTTCCAGGAGCCCACGGCCACCAGATCCCACCCTCAACAGCCTAGAAAACCCTAGAATCAAAGGCCTTCCTCCCCAGAGGCCCAACTGACCTTACCAAAGGCAAATCCTGGGACCCTCACCGCTGTTCTTCACAGGCCTGGGACCCTCACCGCTGCTTGCTTTCCGCTCGTCTAGCCAAGCCAAGAGTTTAAGCCGAATGAAGAGTGAAGCAGGCTTTTACTTCCTGTTTTAACTGTGTGTGGCACCTCCCACAATTTCATAATAAGAAATTGTTAGTTTTAGCTTTGTAAGCTTGGGTGTTTTAGAGGCAAGTTTCATTACCATATTCCAAAATTAGAAAGCTGGACTAAATGATGACTAAGCTTGTTTTCTTTTTACTTCCAGAATTTACCAATAGTCTAGGTTTATCATAAATATTATGTTTTGCCTAGAAGATCAGGGTTCAATCCCAGTCAGGGCATATGCCTGGGTTGTGGGCTCGTTCCTCAATGTGCAGGAGGCAGCCAATCAATCAATGATTCTCTCTCATCATTGATGTTTCTGTCTCTCTCTCCCTCTCCCTTCTCTGAAATCAATAAAAAATATATTTAAAAACATAAAAAATATAATTTTGATGTTTTCATTCAATAAATATTGATTGAGCACGTCGGAGAGATGTTGAGATCTGGAAACTGGGGGGACACTCACCACAGCTCACAGAGGGTCTGCCAACTCCCACAGCTAAGTCTCGTGGTTTTCCCATCGACACTCAAATACAAGCGTCACCTCCATGGGCCCCTAGGCCACCAGGTCCCACCCTCAGTGGCTTACAAAACCCTGGAATCAACCCAGCCAACCTTCCCCAAGAGGCAATCCTCGGGCCCTCATCATGGTTGGAGTCTGGGAGACGTAACAGTGAACAAAACACACATTAGCCCGGCCTTCTTGCTGTCAGTCAGTTGAGATGTTCTCTGATGTTAAAAGTAGAAACAAACAAACAAAAAACACCTCTTTCCTTGAAACTTCCTTTTTTTCTTTCCACATTGGAATATAAGCTTCCAGATGACGTAGACCCATCTTACAGCTCAGAGGATTGAGTGAGGTGTCTGGACAGGCCTCGTCCCCCGAGAAGGGCTAGGACTCAGTGATGGCGAACCTATGACACTCATTTTTTTGGTTGATTTTTCTTTGTTAAATGGTATTTAAATATATAAAATAAATATCAAAAATATAAGTCTTTGTTTTACTATGGTTGCAAAGATAAAAAAAAATTTCTATATGTGACACGGCACCAGAGTTAAGTTAGGGTTTTTCAAAATGCTGACACGCCGAGCTCAAAAGGTTCGCCATCACTGGGCTAGGTAAAGGTGCCAGGTAACACCGGTGTCCTTCACACCGTTGATTCTGCTCATAAAGACTGAGCGAAAACACAAACAGAATGCAATCCTGTTGGTGCTAAATCCTGGCCCAGGGGGAGTCCCCGACCCTCGCTGCCTCCTGAGCACCCAGCCCAGCCCTGTCCCTCTGTTCTGTGACTAGCTCCTGGCCTAGGCTTTGAGCGTCACAAGGCCAGAGGCTGCATCTCTCATGCCCGTGTTCCCAGCACCTGCCACGGGACTAGTGCTGTCTGGAGCATACAACGGTTTCCTGCAAATGGACAAGAAAAGAATCCCTGTAGACAGACAACGGGTGCAAACATGGGGTTCCCTGACCTGGTGCTCAAATAGCCAAAGTGAATCAGTGACACTTAAACTCGTCGTAACCTGGGAAATGCAGAAGAAAGCAAGGAGATACCCACTTTAACCCTATCAAGTTGGCAAAGATTTGCAAGTTGGATCAGGTCAAGGGTCAGAGGGCAAGTCCTTATAGAGAACTGGGGAAGCCGTCCATCTCTCAATACTGTGTAGTGGTTAGAAAGTGGAACCTGGTGAAATACACAGAATGTAAACTACACAAAGTGCTTACTTTTAAAAAAGGAAACAGAATGAGTAAAATAATACAAGTAATACATTTGTCATAACAACTGCTAACGCTTGTTGGGTACTTAGCCAGCCAGGCGCAAGCAGTTACTACCTCTTATCACCTTGCAATGCCCACAATCACCTCATGATGTCGTATTAATATTAACCCCATTTAATGAGCAGAAGCACAGAGAAAGTACTTGCTCCCGGTCACATAGTTAAAAAATAGTGCCCACACACAAAGCAACGACAGGTTTTGCAAAGACACAGATCCATTCAGGGATACAGATCAAAAGATTTCAAGAGCTGTCTTTTGGGAACCTCCCAGGGTAGGAAGCGAGGATCAAGAAAGAACCTAGAAGAGGGCAGGGGGAGAAAGGGACAGTGGGCCTTCGAGACCAAGGACCCAGGACATTGGGTGACAGAAGGATTCACGTAGCCCTCTGCCCCAGCACCAAACAGAGAGGAAGCAAAACATAAAGTCTTGTGGAATCTCCAGCAGGAGGGAGACACTGTCTATGCTTGAGGCCGCTGAGGTTTGAGGAGACTGAGAAACGAGCAGAGGAACTGGAGATTTCCAGAGCTGAGAAGGAGCAAGGCCGGTGGCTGTAGCTCAGAGAGAAACACACGTGGAGATCCTGGCGGGACCCAGAGGCGTCCTCACTCGGCAAGTCCCAGCAACGTGGTGTCCAGAAGCCACTCCGCAGCGGCACTCACCTGCTCCCCCTGTCCCAGCAGCACCATAGTCACCAGGCCCCCGACGCCAAGGCTCCTAATCTCCTAATTTCACACGATCACATTCCACACGACCAGAGCCGGGCGAGGGAAACCATGAAACAGAGCAGGAAGAAAAGGGTGGGGATGGAACCGCCTCCAGTAACTTTCCTTTCACTTTCGTCTCTCACCACTTCCTGCCTCTGTTCAGCACAGTCAGAATTCACTGGCACGTTAAGCAGGGCTTTTAAACGTCACCAGGGAACGGTGCAAACGTGTCCCTGCGGCAGAAGGGCAGAATCTGGTGTTTGAGAAAGAAACTCTCTCAACAGAAAGAACTAGAGAATAAATTTGATTCCTAAGACAGGAGGACAGAGGAGTGACAAGTAGTGTTTCTTATTTAAAGAGACAGATGCCCAATTTCCAACCATTCAGAAGCGGAGGTGACGGTCGTCAGCCTGCATACTAAACACCAGGAAGCTGGACGTGCCTCATGGAAAGCACTTATGCTGACTACATTTAGTAGTAATAACCCCTGTCGGTTTTAAAGACAGGCAAGTGAAATGCCATTCTTCCTTGAAAAAGGTCTGGGGAGAGGAACCGTACCTCTGGGCAGTGGCTCAAATCTGCACGAAGCCATGGCCCAGCCCCTCAGATGGGGGGGGGGGGGGCAGGGGCTCCCCTTGGGTCTGAGCGGGCTGCTAGCAGAAATGTGGGGGAGGTTCTGCACAAACAGGAGGCGGGTGGGGCGGCCCAGCCCTGAGGTAACAACACTGGCCCAGCCCTGGCCAGGCTCCCAGGTTAGGAGTCACCAGGGCCAGTGCGGTGTGGAGCCTGGTGGTACTACGGATGGAGGTCTGCGCCCCAGGACCCTGAGCCCCAGGCCCTCCCCGGCTTTTCTTCATCCCCCGTCCACTCCTCTGTCTCTGTTTCCTGTTTGAATTTTCTTAGGGGTTTCCTGCCTCTTTGTGTTCACATCTTGTACATGTTATAACCAAAACGCTGACAATCATGCAATAACCTAGATGCTGCATCCTTTACACACGTTTTCTCTAATTCTCACAGCAATGCAGGGTCTCGTTCTCCCGTGTTCTGGATAAGGAAACCGAGACTCAAACTGATAACAGACTCCAACTCAGTCCTGTTGGACCAAACACAGGATTATTCCACGATAACATACTAGCCCTCTTTCCCTTGACACTTAGGATTTGAAATAAGCAATGTGCTGGGAAAGCAATGAACTTGAGCTAAGACAGAGTGGCCTATGCACAAAGATCAGAAGGTCTTTGGGTTCTCTGTCACCTAAGAAAAAGGAGTTGGCCTCATGGCACCAGCTAACATTTACCAAACATTGTGTATGCGCTGGACACAGTCACCTAAACTGGCTCATTTCACCTCAGAAGTGGATGCTATTTTTGTTCCCATTTTATGGATGAGGAAACTGAGGCCTGAAGAGGTTGAAAGACTTGGCCAAGTGAGCTAGTGAGTGACAGAAGGAGGTCTGTTTGTCTCTAAGACCCCAAGCAGGTCTTAGACACAATGGTGGTTCTCAACTTGATTGGTCTGAGAACTAACTGGAGAGGTTTAAAAAAGGATCAGTCGCCCTAACCGGTTTGGATCAGTGGATAGAGCTTTGGCCTGCGGGCTGAAGGGTCCCAGGTTCGATTCTGGTCAAGGGCATGTACCTTGGTTGCGGGCACATCCCCAGTAGGGGGTGTGCAGGAGGCAGCTGATCGATGTTTCTCTCTCATCGATGTTTCTAACTCTCTATCCCTCTCCCTTCCTCTCTGTAAAAAATCAATAAAATATATTTTTTTTTAAAAAAAGAAGGACCAGTCTTCAGGCCCCAGCTTTGAATGCCTACCTGAGCAGAATAACTGGAGATAGAACGGACCGAGTACTTCGAGTAGCCCCAGGCCTTCCACTGTTCTCGCCACCACTGTTGCTTACGCTCAGGCCTCTGTAAGGTGGCTATTTTAATGACTGGACATAGTGCACGGATGAGGAAACTAAATTCAATGTCCATCAGCTGACAAACAGCAAGACCAGCAAATAAACCCAGGACTGCCTCCCTCGAGAATTCATGCTCATCCCCCAGTCCTCACCCAGGCCCAGCCTGGCAGACACGGGTCAGCCACTGGCGGTGTGAGGGTTCATTCAACAGGAAACTAGGAGGCGTGAAGAGAGAACTCTCAGGGATGGGCCACTCACCACAAAACAGGCAGAAACATACCTTGCATCTTGAACAGGAAGTGCACTACATTACTTAGGAGGAAGAAGAGATTCCAACTTGCCCGGTAACAGCTCAGCCAATGGGAGCCTGCCATAACTCAGCCAATGAAAAATCATTATCCTATGACCATCTGGTAGGGACAGAAATAGAATGCTAAGGAACCAGCTAGAATTGCAAGAAATATTACTCATGCTCTGTTAACCATGACTGTTTCGTTCTGATTAAAGGAGGCATATCCTAACGTGGCTGGCAGCCGCCCTCTGGACCTGGGGGCTCACCTGGGAATGCAGCCCACCCTCCCCATTTGGAGCTGCCTGTTATCTTGGAAAGATGAACAACTCTGCTGCAGAAACCAGAATCGCCAGCCTTTGAAGGTCCCCAGTCCTTGCATATCTGGAAACTGCCCATTTGCCCTTTCGCCTGCTTTCCTTGTACTTCTACCAATCTAAGCAGTCGGCTTATGGTAGGGTCCAGAGCAGATTTTTGTGGACGACCTGCTGCTCTCCCATACTGCCAGCAATGTTGGAATAAACGCTCACATATGATCCAACCCTGTCTCTGCTTAATTGGCTCGAGTGGTGACAGGCAGCACGGACCCATTGTTTGTCTGGTTACACATTCAGTTTCTTCCTATAGAAATTGAATGTGTAACCAGACTATACAGCATAAAGAGTGTTCTTCTCCTTTGTTCTCTGGACTTGCATGTGTACCCCATTCGACCACATGTCCTGAATTTCAATTCTTTGTTATTCCCAAATAAAACCATTTTGCTGGAGAAATAGCTGGCTATTTATTAAAGGTCAACAGAGGCATTCGGGGCCGTGCTGAGGATGAGGGTGGGCAAGGAGGAGGACAAGAGGGGGTGTCTCAGGGCTTCCACTTGTGTCTTTTGTAAGGTATTGACCCTAGGCCCTCCCAGTCTTAGCTCTTTTTTAAAAGGAAGATGAATAATTAGCTCGTGAATCAGGAACCTGAAGTTAGTTACCTTCCTACTGTGATCTGCAAGGATCATTATTCAGTCATTTGCTCTAAACAGTTTCTCACCTCAATCTTGACATATATGTCTGTGTCTATTTGTTATTGAAAGGAATAATGTATGGGGTCTTTCATCCCGGGGAAGCTGGAAGACCCGGAGGTGCTGCAGGACTTGGGGGAGCTGGTCCACGCCCCCTGCACCGTGAGGACAGCCTGGTTTGACTTAACCACCAAGTGGTTTCCACCGTCGTAAATCTTAGCTCCCGCCTGAAGCCCTGCTCTGGAGACTCAGGCTAAACGCCGATTTGGCTCTGCAAACAGAGAAGGACTGAACCTCCTCCCCGCGTGCTGCAGCACACCCTTCCCATTGATCTGGACTTGAACCACAGGACACTAGTCAGGGATAAATACTGACAGCGAAACAAAAATCTCCTGAACGTGCATGTGCTTTGTTTGTTGCTTCTTCATTAAGTGGCACATAACTGACTCACAGGCCCTAGCCTCACTCCCACTTTGACTCTAGCATCTGGCCTTGGTTCTGGGCCTTGTATACTCCCTGCAGGAAGTGGTGAGGGAAAGGAAAAGAGACTGCATCTCAATTGATCTATTTCATCCCCTCCTGGGCCTTGCTCGAAGAGAGTCAGCTAGTTGTTGAAAAGTTCTTCACCGCTGGGATTGTAAGCCTTTTGGTTTTTGTTTTGGCGTTGAGATGATTAGACAGTCACAGGCAGATAGAAGAGGTTACAGTCACCGACTTTAACATGCATGTTTTGCAACTGGCTGGTGGCCAGTGCCTGCCTCCCAAAACTACTGCAAACTAAGGCCCATACCACTCACTGACCTAGAAAGGAGGAAACTGAGGTAATTGTTGGGTTACAATGCCAATATTCATGTCACCAACCTAGCTTTTTCAATATTTTCTTGACGTTCTGAACAGGATGAGGGTCCTTTATTTTCTTGCTTTACTCTATGCCTCTACCCAAGAAATGGAGCACCTCGAAAAAGTGTAAAGAGTCACTTAAAATTTTTCATAAGGATAAAATATACATAACATAAATTTTACCATTCTAACCATTTTAAGTAGATTCACACTGTTGTGCAATCATCACCACCATCCAAGACATTACATACATTAAGTACATTCACACTGTTGTACCATCATCCATGAGCCACTTTTAATGATATAATAAGACCATATTTATTAAGCATGGTGGGTTTTTTTAAACATCTTTATTGTGATGTAATTCACATACCATACAATTTAATGGAGTTTCATATTTTCACAGAGTTGTGCAATGATCTCCACTATCAATTTTAGAACATTTTCATTATCCCCCAAAGGAATCCCATACCCTTTGGCAATTGCTCCCACTTTCCTCCCAAGCTCCCCAGCCCTAAGCTATTTTCTACCGCTAATCTACTTTCTTTCTTCTTAAAAATTTATTGATTTTTAGAGAGAAACATCCATTTGTTGTTCCCCTTTATTTATGCAGTTATTGGTTGCTTCTTGTATGTGCCCTGAGCAGGGATCAAACCCCAAACTTTGGGTTATGGGAACACGCTCTAATCAATTGAGCTACCTAGCTAGGGCAAGCATGATACAGTTTTATAGCATTTTCCCTACTATGTCATTTGACCCTCATTGGTAACTACATTTTTAAATCTAAGACAGGCAGGGCAGGTGTTACAAAGACATCTAGGAAACCACAGCTCAGAAAGGTGAAGTGACTGAGCTGAGAGAAAGGATAGTCTTCCCATGAAATGGAAACTGGCATAACTGCACATCCACATGCAAACACACACACACACACACACACACACACACACACACACACACCTTCAAACAAACAAACAGCCTTAGCAGGTTTGACTCAGTGGATAGAGAGTGGGCATGTGGACTGAAAGGTCCCCAGTTCTATTCCGATCAAGGGCACATACCTCAGTGAAGGGCACATACCTCAGTTGCAGCTCCTCGCAGACTAAGCCCTGGTCGCCCACTCAGCCTGCTTGTTCAGTCGTTTGGTCGTCCCTCACTAACCCCCCTGCCGACCTTGTCACCCCACGCAGCCTGCTGTTTGGTCGTCTGTCCGGTTGTTTTGGTCATGATGGCCCCT